TGAGTGAGTTTGCAGGATATGAGGACTTCTTGCAGTTGGGCTCTTTTATCCTGGGGACCTCCAGTGTTTGGACCAATCAGCAGCTCTTGACCTTGTTGTTTTTTATGTTATTTTCCATACTTAGTTTGTGTTTTTCAGGAAGAATTTGCTATGCAAATGTGATGAGTATTGTGTTTGTGTTTAATCTGTTTCTTAAGAGCGTGTAACTCACAAGAACTGTTTCCAGATGAAAGGAAGACAGTCACTTCATTAGTATCCTTGGTGCTCTGAGGATCATTTTGGTCATGTGGTGGCTCCTACTGCCCTGGGAGGGTCAGCACAGTTGTTCTAGAATATTTTTGCTTTGTCTATATTCAGATTAGGAAGTGGCTGTGGGATGAGCATGATGCTGCTGTTTTCACAGTGAGGAACCACTCATGTGTTCATCCAGAGGTTCCTGACTCAAGGCTGGTTGAGGCCTCTGTCTCTGTACCGGGTCTTCCATGTGTGTGTCTCCAGGCATTTTGGAAGAGGATGGTTGGCATGTGGTCTTCCAGAGCAGAACAGGACCAGAAAGTGAGGGTAAAAGCAGAAGCTGCACATGGGGATGGGACAGGTATGGATGGATGTGTGGGTGGCCATAGGTCCTGTTTTAGCCAGTACTGAGGGCTCCCCAGGATGAGCCTGTGGGACTTTCTGCCATGGAAGCCCTGCAAACCCAGCCAAACCAGGATGAGCAGGTGACGCTATTCCCAACCTAGGTACCAGCACAGACAATGTCTTGGGTCATGATTTTTCTCTCTCTCTTTTTTTTTTTACATCTTTCCTTCTGTCTCAGGTTCTGCTTCTTTCCCCCCCCCTCCTTTCTCACTTGGTTCCTTGCTTTCTTGCCTTCTTCTATTTCAGGAGGGAAGTTAGATTAGGTGAGATGGTACCTGATTCGTCTGCAAGAAACAACATGCTGAGAATGTTTTTAGGTCTATCATTCCATCCACGATAGGGCAAGTTATTTTTTCTCAATGAACTATTCTAATGTGAATTCTTCCTTCTACTGCTGTCGGGTAGGAAGTAGAATTGAATCCCGTTCCCTATGAATCCTACCCTTGCATGCATCTCCTATGGGAGCTGATCACTTGGTTGACTTGTAACTCTGTAGGTTAATTTGGGCTCTTTTCATTCTTTGGTTCATCAAAAGAACAGTAATGTTGGATGCCTTTGGGTTGTGAGTGTGGGACTCATCAGCATAGTCATGTGTAGCACACTCATTCTAAGTGTTGTAAAATTTTCACTGAATGAAATAAACACCATGTACTTGATTGTCCTCCAGATGGTCATGCAGTTTGTTTGTAGACTGGAATTTACTCAAACTCATGCTGCTATGTTTTTGCACTGAGCCTGTGGCCGTAAACATTTATGGTGGATACACAACCAGGTCTAGGGTTGTTCATATAATTCCACATGGAAAGATTTCTTCTGTTATTAGTACAATCTCATCCATTTTTCTCTACATTTTTTTCCTTAGATATTTTATCGTGTACACATGCTGTATGTTAAAATTTAAAGCTTAAATTTTTACTGCTTAGGGAATATGGAAAGTGATTCATATTTTGTATGTTTTTAAAAAATCTGTATTTCTTGGTTATTTCTAATAGTGTATGTTAGATTTTGGAGGGAGATGGACAAATTTTCATGCACAGGCATGTCATGAACAATGATTCTTCTTTTCTTCATTTCAGCAGAGTCTTTCTGTTGTGTATTTTCCTTGCCTTGGTGGGCTCTCTGGTCTGTTGGTGGTATACTGGCATCAGATGGGTATTCTTGAAGAATCTCAGCATAGGAGGGAGAACTCTTTGCATTTCCCCATTATATGTATGCTGAGAGCCACAGCCGAGTCTGTATGGCTCCTGGGCATTTTGCCAACAGTATTGATTGACAGGCGAGGCATTATCCGCCTCTGCCGCTACTTTTGCGTTCTCGCGCTATTTTTGGACTTCTTGCGCTATTTTGAGTTCTCACGGGATTCCCCTGGCGTTCCCATTGGTTGGGGAAGTGCAGGAGGAGGGATTTTTCCCAGGGAGCTATTTCCGGCTGGGGGTTCCTGCAGGAGCCTCATGGCTTTTCGGGAGGATTCCCCAGGAGCGTGTGTGAGGTTTGTTCCTGCTTCAGTGGCTCGTGATTTGTGCCCAGCCAGACTGCGGCATATGTAGTCCTCCTTGTCCTTTCTAGAGATTCTTTTCATAAGAGCATGACATTCAGATGTGTCTGAATAAATTCTTTGGACAGAATCCAGTTTACAGAAATCAAGTGACCTTTTCTAATGACATTAAAAACCACCAATTCTAAAATTAAGAATCAACAAATGGGATGGATTTAAACTAAAATGTTCTTCTCAGCAAAGGAAACAATCAATAACATGAAGAGAGAGCCTACAGAATGGGAGAAAATCTTTGCTACGCACATCTCAGATAGAGCACCAATTTCCAGGATATATAAAGAACTTAGAAAACTTAACATCAAAAATACCCAAATAACCCAATCAATAAATGGGCCAAGGAACTGAATAGACACTTCACAAAAGAAGAAATATAATTGATCAACAAACATGAAAAAATGTTTATCATCTCTAGCCATTAGAGAAATGCAAATCAAAACCTCTCTAAGATTTCATCTCACTCCAGTCAGAATGGCAATTATCAAGATTATAAGCAATAATAAGTGTTGGCAAGGATGTGGGGCAAAAGGTACACTCATACATTGCTGGAGGGACTGCAGATTGGTTCAACCACTCGGGGAACCAGTATGGAGATTCCTCAGAAATCTTGGAATGGAACCACCATTTGACCCAGCTGTCTCACTACTCAGTTTATACACAAAGGAATTAAAATTGGCATACTACAGTGACACAGTCACATCAATGTATAGCAGCTCAATTCACAATAGCTAAACTGTGGAACCAACTTAGATGTCCTTAAACAGATGACTGGATAAAGAAAATGTGGTACATATACATAATGGAATATGACTCAGACTTAAAGACGAAAGAAATTATGGCATTTGCATGTAAATGGATGGAACTAGATAATATCATGCTAAGTGAAATATGCCAATCCCCAAAACTCAAAGGCTGAATGTTTTCTCT